TCGTCCGTCGTCGTCCCGTCCGTAGTCGATGGCGTCGTCACGGAGTACCTACGTCTTCCTAAACTAGGAGTGGTAGGAAAGTAGTACGATTGTACGTCTCTCTCTCTCTCTCTCTCATCAAATTTAGTCAAACTACTCTCTCTCTCTCTCTCTCTACCCTCAGTGCCTATGGAAGAAAGCACAGAGGCGTTCCTGGTTCGAAAACTGGAGCTCAATGATTACTCCAAGGGCTTCATCGAGCTCCTGTCCCAGCTCACGGCATGCCCCCATATCACTGAAGAAGACTTTCACTCTCGATTCCATGACCTACAATCTCTAAGCCAAGATCACGTCATTTGTGTCATAGAAAACCCTAATTCCCATGAAATTGTGGCCACTGCTTCACTGTTCGTGGAGAGAAAGTTTATCAGGAACTGCGGAAAAGTTGGTCACATAGAGGATGTGGTTGTTGATTCTAGGGTTAGGGGATTGGGATTAGGGCAAATGGTGGTGAAATATTTGTCGGATTATGCCAGATCGGCTGGCTGTTATAAGGTTATATTGGGTTGTGCTGTTGAAAACAAAGGGTTTTATGAGAAGTGTGGATTCAAGGAGAAGGGTGTTCTGATGTCATTATATTTATGATAAATGAATCGATGGTAATTGTGATTTTCTGCGTTTTGATTTCTTTGAAGTTTTAAGCCTGTGGTTTCCTTTTCTTATTTTTTCTGATTCAAAGTCGATTCCTTGTTTTCATTTTTATAGGCATTTGTGCCTGTGTTTCCATTGATGCATGAATTAAGAAATTTGATATGAAGAATTAATGAACTACACTAATTTCTTTCTTTATTGAGTTTGTATAAATTATGTCTCTGATGAATGTAATGATAAAGCCAGTGATGTGATGCTTGTATGCTGAATTCTTGATTAGCACCCATTTGTAATGAGTTTGTGAGATTTGGCTTGGAAGTTTGTGACTCCCAAATTGGAGGTTATTTATTTGGACCGTCCGACAGTTTAGTTGATTTCTTTGAAACGGGACCAAACTGGGTCCGCGTGAAAAACATCAGGAACAGGCCTGACACTCGCTGGTTCCTGAGGTTTCTTTGTTATAACTTGGCCGAGTCCAACTCAAACTCTGCTAAGTCTGGAGCACTGACTCTGACTCAGGCCTGAGTCCAAGTTAGAAACACTGGTCTGGTTTGGTTGGGTGAGATTCTGTTGTTATTTTCACTAGGATTCTCTTCTTTTTTTTGGCTGGTACTTTGGGTTCCAATTTGTGGTAGTTGCTTATAATACGAAACACCTAGGCTCGTTTCTTTCTTTTCCTTATTTGATGGAAATGTGTCTTATTAGTGAAAGATTTGGGTCTTCATGAAAGAAATAGTTTAATATAATAAGTTTTTTGAGTGAGTTTTAACTAGTTCAATATAATTAGTTTATGGAGGAGTTTTTCTTGTTAACATAATTTTGATGGAGCTAGCATCAGGGTGGACCAAAATTATTTGCACAAAATTAGTAACTAGTAGTTCATTACATCCAGTATGTTAAAGAATGTTTCTTAAGAAAACAATTAGAACAATTGCCTTATAAGGCATCATCCACCATTCTGTCTTGAGTCCAATTTAAAGAAATTTATTAGACTATATTTCTTCCAAATATATGCCATTTAATTTTTTTTATGTTAGTTAAAAAATTTAAGACTTGTCATTTTTTTAATGGAGAACTCAATTTTTCTCATCCTCAATTTGTATTTATGAGAAGTCATTCTAAAAGAGCTCAAAGAAAGTTCGAGTCCCAGTGAGTTTTCCGAGTCGATTTGCTTGTAAGCCATTCGGCAATTAGGAGGCACCCTCAAATCTTGAAATGCACCAGCATGGATTTGCAAAGTGTTTTCAAGGTCCCTTCATGGGTAGCTTCGCTTTGAAGGGAGTAAATTGTTACTTATTTGGAAAGTTCATTATTGGATGCAGCAAGGGCTTATAATTTCAAATTCAAGCTTGCAGTCAATTTGTACCTTCATTGTTAACAATCATTAAGCTCTCTTTAATGCAAGCTACAAAGGGAACTTGGGACCAGTGAATTATGATCGTTTTTTCTCTTTCTTGGTATGAGGTAATAACTTTAGTTTCTAAGTAGGGCCTCTAGGGTTATAGATATCTTGTTGAGGATACCTACGTTCTTCTTAAGGGATTCAGGTATTTGTGATAGGCCTATCAAAACCTACTGTTATCTTGGGTGTACAGCCTAATGCTTTTAGATCCCTTTTAAAGGGAAACATTGCTCCACTGAATTTGTCATTGGCATTTGAAAGAATATGTTTTCTGTGATATTTATGGTTTATTTTTATAGGTATGTGATCTCTATTGTAATAAGTTGTGACTAATCATATACACATGAGGTGATTTCAGTGGCTAATAGATAAGAAAATGCCATTATATCGCAGGAGGGGTCTTGAGGACTTTTGTCACTAGTTTTGTTGCACTGATAATTCACTGAAAAGAAGAGGAAAAATAATACAAAAAACTTATTTTTAACTGTCATCTCACTAGAAGTATATTATTTATGGGAACAAAGCCTGTTAGGGATATAGTTTAGAAGACTCTAGAGGCATGTAGAAAGGCCATAGTCCATGTGAGAGTAGAAAATTCTATAATATGACGTGCAAAATGTGAGGAACCCTCTAGAAGCCAAGAGAGCTCGAAAAGGGTCCATAACCATTGGATCGTCGCCATGTGGAACGATCCTTGCCATTGATTCCAAGGCCACCCCACCCCTATGGAGGGGAGGACCCTTGTTTGTTGGGCATCAAGTCCTGACTGCTCATGTGTTGTAAAGCTGAGTCTATTGTAAAGCTTCTCTTCTTACATCAATACAATTTGGTATTTTCTCATGTGCTTGCCTGGTTTCTTTGTGCTGTTAATTTTCCCTAGTACTTGCTGTGGTCTGAGGGTCTTATAGGCAAAGACACCTAGGTGGGGCTACTGGGTAGGCTGACTTAGTGCAATTAGAAGGTTGGGATACTAAGTGCCACATGGACTAAAGCCAAATCAGACTAGAAGTCCGTGACAGGGGGTATCAGCAGAAGCCGCAACCACTACAATTTTCTTTGTAACTATTATTTGCTGTAAATGACATTTATCATTTACAAGGAAAGGCAATTAGCCTCTTCATAATATAATAATCCTAACAACCCCCTATCCTTTCTAGAAATGTGTCAAAGTAGGTCATCAATAAGTCGGCGCAGTCTTCTAGAGACTTCAATGGAGCTCCTAAGAAGGAATAGAAAATCCACAAACTTGTCCCAAAAAGACAGGAAATCCAAGTTACTTTGAGTGTGTCCGAGTGAACTTGTCAAATGAGAAGCCTAGTTTTGGACAGGAGACTGGAGACCTCAGTGTTTTTGACTAGCAAAGTTCTCAACGAGCAAGTTCTTGCAAGGATTTGACCATATGTCTGTTCAAGTATGGCATATAAAGAAAACTCCCTAAAAAAGGACTCATTTCTTATCTCTGAATGTATCAATTTATGTGACCGCACTGACTTTCCTCCTTTATATTATGTGACAGCACTCAATTTAATTTGTTCATTATAAAATAACAAGAACAATGGGAAAAGGCTCTGATGATGATGATTATAAAATAACAACGGCATAAAAGATTTGCAAATCTGCAAGAAAAATTTATCTTGGTCCAATGAAATTGGGTTCAGCAGCTAGTAGCTGCATTTTATTAGACTTGTCTATAACTGGGGAAAAAAAATTACAGATTTGTTTATTAAAGAAAAACATTTTGAATAGATGTGTCACATAATATCATGCTAATTTGGAGTTACTTTTTCTTGTTTTGGAAACTTCACAGATTTGGATACTATTATTCTTACCAGTATGCACTTGCTGTATATTTCTTTTATGAGGAAAGTGCACAAAGGTACATTCTCTGATTCTTAAGGAGATTCTGTGTAGTTATTCCTCGATGGCGATCTCCATACCATATCATCTGTAATATTTTAGTTCTATTGGCTTCTTGTTTAGCCTTGTATTACAATTGTAGGGCATGCGTGAATATAAGTTTGTGTCTATGATCATAAAGGAAACCTGGATAACTTAGTGTGGTCCTTATGTCCTTGTGCTTAGCATGCCAACCAAATAATCCAGAAAGCACGAGTAATTTCCTGTTCTGGTTCTATAATTTATCTACAGTGAAGTATGTAACCGATTCTTTGCTTTCTAGATGAGATTAGGAAATGCATTGTCTCTGTATCTGCCCCTTACCTACTCTTCAATGGGTGCCTTTACAAAAAAGGCTTTTTCCATCCAAGGAATTGGAAGAGTGTAAGACATGCCAAAGATGCAAGGCATAAATTGTAGCCTGATCAATGAAAGATGAAACAAATCCCAAAACATTTCCTTTCCTTCATTTTTTTATTTATATTTTTTCCTTTTTGATGAAATGTTAATCGATCTGACATGGAAGAGCTTTTTGTTTCTTTAAGTTTGTTTTCTGCAGCAAGGCCATTTCTTTTGTGTGTGTGTTTTTACTTTATATTGTTGGTAACATGGTTTGTGACACATGGACTTCTCAAAGGTCACATATGCACGTATGATTTCGGGCTGTAATGCAGTACTGCTGGGTTGGTTGTGATCTTTGGCCCTGGTTTTCCAAGCATCAGCTGTCGGCCGATTTTTTTTTGGATGAAATGTAATTGATTTGACGTTGGACAAAAAATCTCCGTAATTTTCAAAGAAAAAAAAAGGGTCCATTTCATCTGTGTGACTGTTAAAACTTTATATTGCAGGTAAAATGGGTTGTGAGGTCACATATTAAGGGTTTAAAAAATGGATCGGTGCCTTGGATCGGGCACCTCAAAAATCCATCCGGATCGGTGAATCGGATAGGGAATGGGCTAAATCGGTCAGATTAAGCTTTAAAAAAATTATTAAAATTCATTATAAATATTGTTTTTTAGGAATTTAATAAAAAATGGGGGTACTACATTATTAACTTTCATTTTTTTCATCAATATATGAATATGGAGATGTTCTTTTCCTATATGAACTTATGTTGACCATTAAATGTACATCACACAAAAGAAAAATTATAGAATTATTATGGATGGAGTATATAATCATTCATGGTCTGCGATAAGAATGGATAAAAAATGACCACCAAAATCTCGAATCGGTTGGATTCGGCCTTAAAATTTTAAAATATTATAAATAATCATTATAAATGTTGGTTTTTAGGAATCCAATAAAAAATGAGGGTACTACATTGATAACTTTTTATTTTGTTACATAAATATGCGAATATTGAGATGTTCTTTTCCTGTATGAAGATTCTCATCAAACATTTATTAAAACCTAACTAAATACAATATTATACATTGAAATTAGAATTATTGATTTGTATTTTATTATTTTATCATCATTTTACTATACAAATAAGAATAAACTTGAAATTCGTCTTATAATATAATCTAATTTAAAAATCTAATTACAACTACAACAAAAAATAATATATTGCATAATTTCTAATGTAAATAAATTAATATATAAAATACAAGATTTGATTATCATTGTAATTAGTATAATTATTAGTTACAATATTATAATAAATGTGATTAAAAAACAAGGATATAACCCTCACAAATAAATAAATCTAATGTATAATAA